GTATATAGATATATATATATATATATATATATATATATATATATTTATCTATATTTGCTTTTTTATTTCTTTTGCTCTCTACACTTGGTATTTAATTATTATTTTGTGCCTATATACCAGTCTTAAGCCTTGAAAGCCATTTTCTTTGACTGCACCAAATTGCAACAATGTTGCTTAACTTTCTGTATATTTTTGAGCTCTTTCTCTCTCTGTGTTTTTTTTTTCTTTTCTTGTTTTTTTGCTGATTGTTGCAGAAACTGCTACTGAAATTATTGCATATTAAGCGTGTTGGCATTAACATGTGCTAGCTGGCTGCCTGGCTGTCTGGCTGTCTGTTAGACATACACTGGCAACTGGCAAGTTCAACAGACCGTTCATAAATTACGTATACGCCTATGTGCCTCAAATGCCATTTTTAACTGCATATCCCCAGGCGCACTTAGAACATCATCGTCGCAGCCTTTTGATTCCAAACCGCATACGAAAAATGTCAGCTAACAGATAAAAAAAAACCAGCAAGCAGAGATTTGTTTAGGGGATTGACTACAATATACCCGACAATTGCTTGGCTTGAGTGTTAATCATGAAAGATTTCATGCTAAAGTCTCCATTAATAGTTCTGACAGGTTTCTACCATAAAACTATTTGGAAATGCCACTTAGTTGAATATTAAGGCAAAATCAGAGGACGCTGATTAAGAATGTTAATAACGTATTAATAACATTAATTGAGTTAGTATACTAAAATTTAAAATAGTTTTGCTACAATTTCTATAAACTATTGTGGAAGGTCAACAACTTTCTATATAAGCTGATTTAAGCACTAACAAAACACTAGCTGTTTATAGAGCACTATTTCTAGCTATATTTTTATGGAATAATATACCACTTTGGGTTGCATGAGTGCGGGTAGCTTAACGCTCGAGTGTTGGAACGCGGCACTTTGAGAGGCTTACCCGTCTGTTGTTCTTGTTGTAGTTTGAATCTGGTGGCTTTGTGTGCGTCTTTTGTGGCTGTTTGTTGTTTGTTTGCCTGTTTGTTTGTCGACAACGACAACGACAACAAGAACAACAAGAACAACAACGGCAACACTCGAGCACAACTGCCAGCAGAGTTGCGAGTTTTAATTGCACTGAAAACAAAATGCTAAACACTTGTTGGCTGCCTCGCTGCCACCGCGGGCTACTTTCTACATTTCGAGTCGCCTCGTCGAGGTGTCAGACTGCAGTGGCAAAGCGGCAACGCCTGGTAGCAGTAGAAGACTAGTAGCAGTAGTGGAAGTCCTGCTCGTCCTTTGATTGCGACACTGTGCGCCATAACTGAAGGCAGTTTCAGCTTTTGGCTCACTGCTGCAAATTGTTTTCAAGTGTCCACCGTTCGCTTTGATCGTTGGCAAACATTTTGCGACAGTTGCAGCTGAGTTGAGTTCTGACTGCAGTCCGAAAAAAATATCTATTTCCTATTTCAATAGGAGAAGGAATACAGAGACAAAATATTGAAAGCTCAGATGGCGTATAGAAATTGAAAAGTCAAATTTTTACAAGAGTATTTCATGGGTTTTTTGTCTTTCACTTTGGCAGCAACCAAACGAAGTTGAAGTCAATGATAAATGATGTTCCGCCTCTGGCGCAATTATTAAGCTAACAAGCTGCCCTAAAAATATTATACAAAATTGGTTTTGCTACTCCTACAAATGAATAGGGTAAGAAAAAAATATCTCCTTTGCTTCGCTGGCTAACTGCAATTATGGTAGAAAAATTACAAAAGCATCAATGCGAAATAGTTATGCGGATTGTTTAACGACAGTTTAAGCAATTCCAAATACTCAACAATTGTCCCAAAAAGAACAATGTAAGTTTGCAGAGAATCGAAAAACTTGCTGCTGGCATCAATTGTCTATAATCGTCTGTTAGTCTCTGTAATTAACTTTGATTTGTTGAAGCAACAATAGCAATTGCAACAGTTCCTTTCACACACACACACACACACGCACACACATGCCCCACATTGGCACACTGTGCAACTGTCAGTTGACGCTGCATGTTGCAGCTGTTGTTTTAATAATATTTGTTTTTGTTGTTAGTTTTAGTGCTTTTTTCATGACTATCACAACAAGCTAACAATCAAGCAGCGCGTCTAACTAACAAACTGGACAAAACTTTACCAAAAAACTTTGTTTTTATTCTTGCTGATGCTGCTGCTGCTGTTGATGCTGCTGCTGTTGCTGCTATTGTTGTTGTTGCTGTTGCTGCTGTTGCATGTGATACGATTTTTATGTAAAACATAATTGCAGATTAGTCGCAACAGAAATGTGGAATACAAAAACGAAAGCGCTGGCAATACAAATTGTAATCGTTCTGTTGCCGCTTAAAGAGGATTATAATAAAAAAAAACAACTAAAAATGCGACAGTCGGGAGTGCTCGACTGAGAGATACCCACTAGACTTCCAGTAATATCTGTATTTCATATTCCATCTGATGGAAATTTATACAGTTTGTGTCTGGGTACACTCCATATTTCAATTGGAAAGATAAATCTTTTGGTATCTTTTATTGTTATCAGAAATCGATTAATGTCGATATTCGCAATACAAAGCGCAGTTATCGATAAAATAAATGAAAGCTATAGTCAAAATTTGAAGTCTCTAGCTCTTAAAATGAGATCTGAGATCAGCTTGCCCATACAGATAGTCAGAGAGACACGACGAAATCGACTCGATCAAGAATATTTATGTATTTTATGCTTTCCTCTTTTGTGCCTGTTGCGTACACAACTTCATATGCCCCTTCTACCCATTTTAAATGGGTGCAGGGTATACAAAAGCGTGGTCTAAGCTCCCAGACAGACAGCAGGGGAGATAAAGTGTCAGCTAGCGGCTGTAAGAGTGCAGGGGGAAAGGGTATTCATGTCGACACTGGCGACAAACTGTGCTGCAGTTCGAGCATTTGAGTATTCATATTTCTGGTTTTTGCTTTGAGGCACTTAACTCCTGCCATTGCCGTAAAGATATTTCAATCAATTAAAATGCACCACAAAAAAAAATGAAATCAAGTAGATAGCAAAAAGTAGCTTAGAAGCTTTTGCTCCAAGCAGAAATTGCTTTGGGCAACCAATCGCTCAACATGACGAGCATAGCTCAAGGTAGAAGTCGAAAATAGGACTTTGAATTAACAAACACACAGACACATACACACACACATACACACACACATACACACACACACAAACACACACACACACACACACAAACACACGGACAATTGGAGTCATGCGTTTTGCCTATTTGCACAACAAATGAAGTTGGAAATGGCTTGACTTGTTGTGTGTGTGTGTGTGTGCAGCAGTACAAAGTAGTTGTTGTTGCTGTTGTTGTTGTTGTTGTGGGCCACTTTAAATGGAAGGTAAATATTTGAGCTGCATTTTCAGTCAGTCGAGGACACAAAGATTCCGAAAGATTCTCTCACCTGATGGCCATCAGGGAATAGCTCCTCCACTCTGCTCTGCCACTCAATCGATCCACATTGATTCGCTTCATTTTTGGGGGTGGACGACTGCATCCGCAAGTGCAAAATGCTTCAACTTCACACAGATACTGGCCATTCAAATGAATATTCAGCCTTCACTTTGCCCCTTGCCAATGCTCCCCATTTTCCTCCAGCTGCATTAAAAAGGCACCGCTTGAGTTCTCTTGCAGTTGGCATTTTGAATGCTCAATTATTTTATACTTAAGTGGGTGGCGATTTCCCTGCCAATTGCTGTAATTAATCAACATTTGTTTTGATTTCACATTTTAATCTACCACTTAAGATTATATCGATATTGCTTTCCGTTGAGGCTGTCACTTCATATCTTTAGAAAACCTTTAGAGAACTCTGCTGGCTTTTGAGTTGTCTGATCGAATTTGGTAAGCTTCTTAAATGTTCTTCGTGGCTTGCAGATACTATGAATTGCACTCAACTAAAGATATTTTTGTTTTGCTTTTAAGATACAAAGTCTTACTCCTTACAAACGATGATTCTGCTTAGTGGGGTTTATGGGTTAACCGTTTAGAGAACTGCTGCAGATTACTCAACTTATCTCTATTCAAGCTAAGCTGAGCACTCGGGAGAAAACCCATAATCAGGATAGATCTTGAAGATCCTACGGTTATACTCAACATTATCTACTTGCTGGACTTCTTGTTACACGATCCTCGAGAAGTAGAGAACTCAAACTCGATATAGTCGACCAAATCCTGTTAAGAACTCGCAAATTTTTGATTTGCTTGTTGGATTTGTATAGAATAAGCCCCACAATTAGTTGACTCCCTAGATTCATCTTCTAAATGTGCCTTTGGATTCTTCAAATTAAATTATAATCAGCAGAAATGTATGTCATGATATGCTGATTACAATAACGAATACCCTATAAGATCTCTGTTGTTGCTGTTTCTTTTTAAGCATTTTATTCTTTTGACAGATTTTGTATTAACATAAGCCATAATCTCTCAAGTCTCACTGTTCTCCTAGATTTTAAGTGAGATTTTTGTAAGCATTGCGCTTACGTGATAATATGTATATATGATTTACATAGATGAGCTTGAGCCATGTGGCAGCTCTATAAATTAGCTGCTTGGTGACAATCCGAGCTGCGACTGCTGCTGCTGCTGCTGCTGCTGCTGCTGTTGTTGTTGCTGCTGTTGCTGGAGTTGCAGTTGCAGTTGGTGGCTGTGTCGACGCCTCTGGTCTTTAATGAATGGACCGCATAAGAGCATAAATTATTTTGGGTGGTCCAGCTGCTGCCTGCTCCTCGGCTTATGTTCGCATATTTGCGCAGCATACTTCTGGGCGCCATACGCGAATAGCTGTGCAGCAGCAGAAGCGTTGCATGCTTCTCGGTTGCGCATGACTTGGCTAACGTCCCTAACCCCCTCTCTCCACCCTTATCTACGCGCTAACCCTTTCCCTTTTATGTGGCACACGTTGCAGTAAAAAAACATTTGGGCACAGCGCTCATTTTATTATTTTTTTTTTGTTAATTTATTTTCATTTTATTGTTTTTACTTTTTTTGCGTGTGTGTGTTGGTTTTCATTTGTTTATTTTATTTATTTTTTTCTTGTGTGTGTATAGTTTTTACTTAAAATAAATGTGGCTCTTTAATCATAATATATTCACAGTGTTTAAGTTAAACTAATGTTTTTTTTTTATATTTGTTTTGTCGTATTTTAATGCTTGCAATATTTGTATCCCATTATCATATATTGATTTAATTCATTTGTTTGTCCATTTTTTCTTTACTGTAAACTTTAATACATTTTTAGCATATTTACATTTTGGTGTCTTTAAATAAGTGCTCAACTTTATTATAAAGTTGAATAAATAGTTATACATAATGCACGTAGTTGCTAAATTAAGTATTCCCTTTAGAAATAATTATAAAATTCATTAAGAAATGCACATTAATTCATTGCCGATATGTATGTGTCGGTGTGTGTAAGTGTATGTGTGTTTGTGTGTGTGTGTGTGTGTGTTGCGGCTTGTCGCTGTTAGATTATGCGTGTGTGTGTGCTTGGGTGCATCATAATCATAATCCAGCTGCTGAAATTTAAGCTAAAACATTTGATTAGAATTGAGCTCAAAATTTGCTACTGTTTTCCAAACTTTTAATATATACCTAAGTAAAGTGGCAACTTGATTGCAACAAACTCAACTAACGTATTATTGCACTCGATTTTGTGTATTTTGTTTGCCAACTGCAAAAAACATTTGTGCTATTTTATTGTGAAATAAACGTTCAACATACAATTGGTAGACACTAATCTAAAACCTATAAAGACCATCCTACAACTAACCGGCTGCAACTGTACAGTTACATATATATATATGTATATGTATATATGCATTATGTTATATAACACGCTTAACATTTATGTTTATGTTTGTGTGTACTTTATAAGTAGACTACACTCATCATTCGTCTCCGTTGGCAATCCTAAACCAAAGCTCGCATAATGTATGCAACAAATAACTTGCCTAGTAAAATTACCGAAATATTTGGTTTTCTTTTTGTTTTTGTTTTTTTTTTCTTTTTGCTAGAAACCTTAACTATTGTATATTTTCATTAATGTGTGTGTGTGTTTGTGTGTGTGTATATTTTGTTGGCTTGTCTGCTAACTTGCAATAAACGCACTTCAAAAATAAACTTAACTGTTTTTTTTTTGGTTTTTGATTAGCAATCCTCTCCATCTATCTGACCAGCAGCAGCAACAGCACCGATATCAGTATGCCCAATGTATTTTGGCTTATGGCACTTGCACCATCGCCATCCCCATCGCGACATGCGTGTGGATGCCGCGTGAAGTCTTCGCAATATATCTGAAATTGAGTGGCAAGAAATATATGCGTGGAAATTAGTAGAAAACTTTGACAAGTCATGTTTACAATTCTGCCCTGAGCCTGAGCAAAAATTATATAATTTCTCGATCAACAGCACTGGCCGAGTCAATATAGCTCTGTTTGCTTCTATTCGAAGTAGTCCCCCAGTTTTGGAGTTGTCATTGGAAACTTGGCATACTCCTCACATTTTAACAAATAATCATCAATATCGGACTTCTTTATAATATAGCTTTCATAGGAACCATCGGTCGGTTTATTTCCAACATCTTTACTCTGCTCTACAAGGGTATACATTCTTCGATCTTTCTTGTTACATGTTCACACGTTTCTCATCACAATTTATTAACTTTTTTATTGATCTGGATTAGTTATTTGAATTCTCGCTTACCTTTGTTAAACTGTTTGCGTATTTATCGACCAGCTCCCGTGTAAACTTGGCCGCCTCATTGCCACAAATCTTGCGCGCTGCATTTTCAGAGCAGTCAACCAGCTCCTTTATAGAACTGTGGAATGGAAAACATATGTATAATTATTATTCAAATGTTCAGCTTGGTATTTACATAACAGACTCCCGCATTTGGGGTTAATCGCTCTCTTAGCTATAATTATTATTTATTTAAAATAAATGTAGGCCATTTAGCCACGCATAAGTTCAGCTAATTCTTACATATTAAGACTCACACCGATTCAAGGTGAGCTGGTTAAGCAGATAAAAATATTACTTGTCGGCAACCGACTTATTGAAGTGAATCAAAAATAATTGTGGAACTGCAAACGAGTTTGACGAAGCGAATTCCTGAGCAAACATTTCTAATTTAAAACTTTATTAAGTCGAGTTTGAGCTACTGAGAAACGAGTTTTAGTTTTAAGCAGATGTTTTATTACTGACCAGATCAAGTAGTAATGTAAATTATTTACTCACCAGCAAATTGTTTTAATATTCTCATTGAACGTGCCATTCTCGGGATTCTCCTGATTTTTGTTGGGTTTGAGAAAGACCATGGTCTCCTTGTAGCGATTGGCGCACACCTCGAAATCCTTTTTGGCCATTTCCGAGCAGGGCGCATGCTTCAGATACTCTGCAAGAGGCAGGCAGCTTAGCTGCAGCTGTCGAACGAAATGGTTTTTTGGGGACTTACCCTCCTGGAACTCGCCTTTATTGCACAGATCCCGTATGAATTGATTGGTGCCATGGTAGAGCTTATTGAATTGATTTCGCTGCTGCAGATCCATGCAGCGACGCGTATAGCTCTGAATGCAACGCACGCCCTTTCTCAGCTCACTGTGGCATGAATGATAACAAACAAAATAATGGTCATGATGGTGATGATGACGATGATGATGTTGATGTTGATGTTGATGGTGATAATGTTGTTGTTGTTGATGCTTCAATTGCATAGGTATGACTGTTGTGGGGAATACTTACTGACAAAGTTTATCCAGTTCCTCCTTTTTGGCAGCGCCAATCGAAAATTCCGACGTTAAATGCAGCATTTCAAGTGGTTCGGCGCACTTTGTGAACTCCTCCTGGCCGCATTCCTCTGACCTTACGACCGCCATCAGCAACGCTACATTTTGTTGCGAAATTCGAGTACAGAAATGTAACAATGAACGAAGGGAGCGAACGAGCGAAGGGGGCGAAGGGAGCGAAGGGGAGCATGGAGCGGGGGAGTCGGAGCAAGATGGAGAGATGCAGAAGGAGACAAATAAACAAGCTAGCAAACAAACATTTCGGATAGTGTGCTCTAGAGTTGAAAGCTAAAAGGCAATCTGAGACTTGCCGCCTCACACACACACACACACACATACACACACACACACACACACATTCTCCCCCTCTCTTCTTCTCCGTCTCTCGCTGGCTTGGTCTGGCAGCTGCAACTGCGAAGTTGCAAATGTGCGTCAGGGGTAATAAAGTTGGGCGTAAGTGAAATTGGCATTTCATAAATTTAAACTTTTCACTTTTTCGGAGCATTCACACACGCTCTCCTCTTCACACACACACACTCACACACTCTCTCACTCTCTCTCTCTTTCTCTCTCTCTCTTTCTCTCTCTCAATCTCAATCTGAATCTATCTATTGGCGGAAGTTATGGCGCTGCCAATTAAAGTGACTGACAGCCCCTCAGCTGAGCTGATCGACTGACTGACTGACTGATAAGACACATTGACGCTCGCTTCAGAAATCGGACTTGAACTCTGATCCCAAATCGAACCATATTTTCCACTCACCTGCAAGCAGCAGCGTCAGCGTCGTCTTCCAACTGCAACAACATCGATGCATTTTCTTTCCTTGTGATTTCTTTTCGATTTTTTTATTTTTATTTCCAGTTCACACTTTTGCGGCCTTTTATTTTTACCATGTAATTGCTATCATCACGCGTATATATTATCCATCAACAATTGTCTGAAGCGAAACGTACAAAAAAAAGACAACAATCAAATATGTAATACTTTTTAACTAGGAAGCAAAACTAGCAAAAGCTTGCTACTAATTGCTACTAGTTCGACCCAAACGAATAAACATTGACTATTGACCATTTACATACACTTTCTAAAGGTATTTCGGTACTTTTATTCAGTGTGTGACTCACGAAGGGAAAATAACAAAATATGTATTATTCATATTTGATATAAACAATATCTATAACTAAGCAGAGTAGCTATCTCGGGCATACCGAAGATTGTATTCTCTTGCAGATAAAATCCAACTGTAAAATTCTAAATTTTTTTTAAATTCATATTGCTTTAGAGTCCTTCAACCGATCGTTTCTATGCTAATATTATAATCAATAGCAACAAGACAGATATATTGAGAAACCTTCACTTTATGGGGTTGGATACTCCTCCTTAAATACATCACAAACTTCATTACAAATTCTACTTATCTACATACTCTGTATTAAAGGGTATTCGGCAACTCGGCAAGTTTTTCTCTATATTAATTCATAAATTGCAAATATTTTACAAATTTTTGACATTTATAAGCTTTATTAATTATTCCGCTACCAATTTAAATCTTTCGAAACGCAATTAACCAAATATTCTCGAAAAAAAGCGACAAATTCTATAAATATTTAAAAAAAAGAAGAAAAAAAAACCATCGTCTAAGAAAGCGAAAGCCAAAAGCGTCAATTGCTTTTGTTTTGGGTTCATCTTAAATTTTCTGCTGTTGTTTTTGTGGTTTTTGATTTTTGGCAGCATTTTTGTTTTTGTATACCGCATGAATGGATGGGAGAGCATTTGAAAAGTTGATTCGATCTTGTCAGAGATCAAATGAGAGCAAAGTACAATGCTCTCCACTCAACTATAATACTTGCTATAGATATGTTGATTATTTAAATTGATACGGCTGCCCACTCAGTTAAGCCGTTAGAGAGTTAAATTAAATGATGGGAAACTTTTCTACAGTTGAGACAATAATTGTTAGATGTGATGAGAAGCAAAATTATAAGATAATGTAATGAATAATACATAAAAAAAGATTACAAAAACTAAGAAAACTTTAAGGAAAAGAAACAATTTTCAAGCCAGAGTGAATAAATTCAAATAAATGAATAAGCGAAGTATATTATATTAATTATAAGAACTTTTGTAGGTAGCCGCTGCTTTTCTAAAAATGATTTCTTGATCATTTAGATAATTTGCATAGCAAACTTCACACACCCTGCCGATAGGCGGCTTGGAATACAATTTACATTTTTATTGCTTTACAACCTATAATGACTTATAAAATGCAAACGGGGTTTAATTGCAAGCGAATTATGCAATCATTTCTAATTGTTTTCTAATCGAAGAGAGATCGTTACGAAAATAATTACGAGCTCAAGTTAAGTAATGTGATAAAGTCAATGAAAACAAATGAAATTATATATTACAAAATGTGCTCTAAACGAATATAAAATGCAGCCAAAGTGAATATGCTAATCGATATGCCCCACTCAAAATCAAAAATGATCAACGGACGCCGTGCGAAATTGCGTAGGCGGGACAAAATGCAAAAAGAAAAAAAAAATTCAAAAGAAAATGTGAAATAAAATGATTTTGCTTGCAGTTGGTTTTTTCGCCAAACATTATTTTCTGTTCTATTCTGTGATTTGCTATTTTACTGCACTAATGCACAAGTGTGCGTATGTGTGCGTGCTTAGTTGGATATTTATTTATGTTATCTATTTGGAAAGCACTTTTAGTGGACCATAAATAAAGAAATGGCACTAATTCGAAATAGTTCTCGAGAGCGTATTTCGTTTATTTTCAAATTTATTGTTTACAAAACAGATTTTTTATTTTTTTTTTTGGCGAGGTCAGTTATTGTGCGTCTATTTTCTAATAGAATTTAATGTGATTGTTGTCGTTGACATTAGGTTAAATCAATCAATGCGATAGAATTTGAAGTGAAGAGTAACCAAATGTAATTTTCTATATGTTTTATATTGATACTGTGTAACAGGCCACTTTTTGTGCATCAAGTTGTATTATTAATCATCAGTTGTCGCTTCAATTAACGAACAAAGAAAACAAATCACTTAAACATTTGCCAAATCAACGACAACAAAAATAACCCATGTAAAATTCATAAAAGCGTCAAACAACAAAAAAGAAGAAGAAGGCAAGGCAAAAGAAATTGAGCGAGTTTTATTTTTGAGACAGATCGGCAAATATTGCATATGTGTTGCCTTGAAAGCGAGACATGGGGCAACGGGGTTGGGGGTGCGGAGCCAACACGTGATGCAAAGAGTGTGCAAAGAGTGTGCAGAAAGAATGCAGTCGGACGAGCCTCTCGCCAAAACAGAGCAAAACAGAGCAAAGCAAAGCACTGCGATGCGATCTGCGTTTGTGCAGCCGGCATAGAAAATCCGGTTTATTACATTTTGCGTATTTTTAGCTCTTTGACGTGCGTGTGTGCTATTATGTGTTTGTCAATGTTGAAGTAACTGTTAATTGTGATTATTTATTGTTATTGCATTTACAGTCAGGGCGCGACGATCGGCGTAACGTAAATTTGTCTGAAGCACTTTTCCCCCAAAAAATGAGCTGTTTTAGTCTCGAGACGCAAGCGCGCCGCGTTGTTCGCCGTGCGAGTAACAAAAACGTACTAAAGAAACAGCAGTCGCAGCCAACAACAGACACCAGTCACCAGCAGCAGCAGACTACACGGCTACCACACCCCAACCCACCCCACGGCAAGCTGCTTCGGCTATGCGCACGAATGGCAAGCGCCGATTCGTTTGAACACTTGTCGTACATGTTGCTGGCAACATATCAAATGTTGCTAACTGGGTGTGAAACAACAGGTATATTTGCATGTTGCTGGCGCACGTGTGTTGCCAGCGAGTTGTTAGTGTGTTAACAGCTGCATTTGTGATAAGCAGCCAATCAGCAAAGCCGTCGCCTCACCTGCCGCAAATCAGTTCAGTTTTACGTCTTTGTTTCTATTGCTGCACTTGATTTATTATAAACAGCTGATTATTTTAGCTTGAACACATTTATTTAATTAATTGAATAAGCCGTAAGCTCTTGAATTTCCTGTCTAGGCGATAAGATTTGCGCTTAAGCAGCTATCTACTATCGAGCCAACTGATTGCCTCGCCAATAAACCAATAAGCCTTAGACAATTGTAGCCAATAATAATTTCATTTTGGTTTGTAAAATATTTGTTGTTTATATTTGCGCAACACAAACACAAAAACAAGCAACAGCAACAACAACATCAGGCAACAACAGGAGTAGTCAACGGTGTCACTTCAATTCAAGTGTCAAAATTTACACGTGTGTCCTTTTGTTTTCCTTGTCATGCACATGCTATCTCACTCTTATCCCCAGCACATGACGATACCTGTACTTTGTGTATAATAGGGTAGTCACAACTTACTGAAACTTTATTTTGTTTTAAGGAGGCCTTTAAATTATAATTAAATCATTTCAATTTTTTTATTTTTTACCTTATATATTAACTCATTTATTCATTCATTCTTCGGTTTCTTTCCATTGAAAGTTACAAATTATCTATCCAACACATTATTTTAAATATAAAATGTATGTTTTTTAAAATTTACTAATTCTCATACTTTAATATGATAATGCTGGGCACAAATTGTGTAGTTTCATTACACAATTATATATTTCAATGTTAAAAGCAAGCAACATCAGCTGGTAAGTTCAACTGGGCAGGTGCAGGTATCTGCTAGTTGAGTAACTGTTTTCCTTTTTGGCCATTGTTTGTATTTAGTTAATATGCAACATTCCGTTGAGTTGAGTTGAGCTTTGTTTGCTATATGCCAATTTGTCGCAATGTTTGTTTGTCTATTTGTATTTGTTGTAAATAATAACTAAATTAGGCAGCGATTTCTTTTGCTTTCGTTGACATACTGGGAGCGAAGGTTCATGGTTCATGGCCAATAAATGAATGTCATGGCACGCTCAAATTGGCCCATTCAAGTTCGAACATGGAGACATAAATAAATGATTTGATGGCGTTTTATTGACCAACAAACAACAACAACAATAGCAACACATTTCACTGGCAGAAATTACAATTGAATAATGCACCAAAAATTGTGACTTGCAGTTGTCCTTTTTTGTTTATTGTTTATTGCTGATAACTATCACAAAATATTTGATTACATTTGCCGCTTGATGGACATTCAATAAATGCCTTAAAGCAATATTTGTTCACACACACACATGCATGTGCATATATATATATATGTGTGTGTGTGTGTGTGTCTGTTGCATGACTGTAGAGCAATTAAATTACGCTTAAAATTTTGTTTAAATATTTATGTGTTACTTGTTTGTCACACTAACAAATCAGCATACAAATTGTGATTTTCGATTTTCCGGTTGGAGCTGCATTTTCACAAGCTATTAAGCTAATTTAGTTTTTTGTACAGCAGTAATCCATACTTTATTTGTTCTTTAGTTCAGCTCTTAAGGTCAAATTATTATTGGTGATTGTCAATATTTGCCAAAATAATTAATCGAAATATTACCTATACAAACGACGTCAATTCGGGAACTTATCTAATACGTTCAAATGACGTCAATTTGTGTGCATAATTCTAGCTTATTTAAAATATAATATAAAAATACTTCCAGATAATGCCCAAGGAGTAAACAAGATGTGTGTACTTTATATAAGTAGCTACTTCTAAATGTGTTTGAAAATAAATCTGTAATAAAATAGATAATGTATAGATAGACACTTGCATAACAACGATTAGATAGTTAGATTATATAGAATAAAAGTTGGGTTGGATTGATTATTTATGAATGTATCGTTTGTTCATTCATTGAAATTGAGAAAATCACTTTTTGATAAGTATAATCTCAGAGATCGTCTTCCTTATGGCTTTTAATGTTGATCAAGAATATATATATATACTTAATGGTGTCGGGAATGTTTCCTTATGCCTTTTACGTACTTTAGCACAACTTAATTATACAATTTTTAGCACTTTCGGGTTGTAAAAACGCTTTTTATGTATAAAGTTTGCTCGCAGTCGATTCATCATTTGTAATTAGTCGTCTGTATATCTTCTGAATATTCAAAAGCAGATGTGTCAGATAATCAGGCATATATCAACTTTATATTATAACTTTATAAATCATTCATTGTAATTTTCTTAATAAACAATACATTTTGGCCATTTTTTACAATTCCTATTAATTTATTAATTAAATGCAGCGCTTAACGCAGAAATTAAGCCCAAAAGCATTTTAGACATCTCATCTGCAAATTTTTGCATGTGTGTGTGTGTGCATAAATCTTGCTCCACTTTTGCATCGTTATCACCTGGCAGGAAACTTAACCCGTCACATAAAAGCCTGGGCTAGAACTGGTGCAACAAGCATGCTTTTTTGTTGTTGTTTTTTCTCTCTTCATGCTTATCCAGTTCATGTGTATGTGGCCAGAAGGTCAGGCCTTGTGTGGGCGTCTAGGTGTGTGTGTTAGGTCATTACCACTGGACACATAAGTGAGAAAGAAAGGCAGCAACAGCAGGCAGAGAGAGAGAGAGAGAGAGAGAGAGAGTGGGAGAGCGGGAGAGAGAGCTTAAAGCCCTTGCTTATATTATGGCCATTGAAAACAAAATGAAGTTTATTTCATATGCGTTACAACTACAATCACACAGACACACACACACAGAAATACGCACACAAATAGCAAATATCGCGCATTAAACGTGACAAGAACAACAACAAAAAAAGCTCTCGCATAACGGTGAAAGTGGCTGGCAAGTTTGCGTGCAAGGCGAAGGGTAGAGTATAACTGTAACTTTGGCTCCCTTTTGTTCTGAGCTGCCGTCGCTGCTGTTGTTGTTCTTGTTGTTCTTGTTGTTGCTGCATTAGTTTGCGTTTGAACTTTGCAAGTTTTGCTTATTGTTGTGTTTATTGTTCTTACTGTTGTTGGAATTGGAAGTTCTCACAACTGTTGATGTTTACATTTAGCGTTTGGATTTATGAACTCCGCATGCGAAGCACGTAACATTGGACAATTTAAAGTTTAGCACACACACACACACGCCCACGCACACATGCTGAGCTTAGTTAAGGGGGAAGTGGAAGGGAAAGGAGGACAAATAAGGACCATTGTCCCCAACGATGACAATAAAGAAATTCTATTCGTAGCGCCGCATTTTCTTGCAAGTATTTACGCTTAGTTTAGTTTTATTAGTTAAGCAACAATGCGTCGGGCAAAAAAAGTTTAAAAATTAATGACAACACCAAGTTATGTGTGTGAGTTTTGGACAAGGGCAATGCGAATGCGAATGGCAAGAGGAAGGGATGCAATGAGTGCGCTCAAAAGACTGCAAAACAGTTGAATAACTATTAAATGAGCTTTTTTATGGCAGCACTGCGAACAGGTTGCGGTCCACGCTAAGCTTTTATAACTGAGTTAAGTGCGTGTTTGCAGGTTATGTGGTTCGGAGCTTGACTAAATTGATTCTTGTGTTTTCATTTTGGGGCTTAAATGAGTGAAATCTATGAAGATAATCGACCTGAAGAGTCAAAATGGATAATACTGGAATATGCTAAATGGACAATGGTATATGAAATATAGACTCTGGATTTTTGACAATTTTTAGCTTATTTATGAAACTAGGATGAAAAATGTATATCTGTCGAACATTTCTTTAATATTTGAAGTAAAAATGTTAATCAAATTATTAATAATGATGTAAGTTAACTAAATATATTGCTGAAAGTACCAGAAGTAAAGAAAAGCTCATTATTACTTCAAATAAATATTAGTTTGCTTAATCTAAAATATACTTTATTTAGAAGTACGATTTTATAATATATATAAAATAAATAAACCACAAACTTGTATTGCCAATTGAAATGGTTTAAAACTCATTGAGCTCAAAAAGAGCAGGTGGATTTGCATTTAAATAGACTTGTATGCTGATAATCAGGAGTGTGGCTTACAAATTGCGATGATTAGAACGTTAATTGTGGCGCGTAAATCTAACGAACAGCAACTGTTCCACATCACAACATTCATCAGGCGCCGTGCGGCAAAAAGGCTGAGCAAGAAAAGAAAACATACTCAGAAAAAAAAGCAGAAACAAAAAAAATGCAGACACGAATCACCCCAAGCGGTTAGCTGGCCAAGTTGGTTAGCTTGGCCAGGATTTACGAGCCGCATTAGCAGCAACGGCAGCTGCAGCAGCAGCAGCAGCAGCAGCAGCAAGCAGTTTGCGCTGCTCATAAGCAAATTTTGTGTGGCAAGTAGCAGGCAGGCAAGCTAGTGAGCCACTAAGCTAAACTGGCTAACTGGCTAACTGGCAGTCAGGCACTTTGGTCAAGTTGCGAGTTCCAGTTTTGGTCACTCCGACTCGGAGTCCAACTCGGAGTCAGATTCGCTCGCTGGCAATGTTTACGGCCGCGTTGACAGTTTAAATCGCTGTGCGCTCGTATATTTTGACGTTTTACAGCCTTTACTTTAATTTACCTATGTGTGCGTGTATGTTGGTGTGTGTGTGTTCGTGTGTGTGTGTGTGTGTGTGTGTGTGTGTGCTGATGTGTGTGAAAGAGCCTGCTTTGTAGTACACTTTGCAAAAATATGACTCAGTTCTAAGCTAGAGCCAG